CCGCCCCGCCCCGTTGCCATGCCTAAACCTAATGCACCGTAAATCTGGTTCAACCACTTGGCTACATGCCTACATCAGACAATTTAGGAAAGGGAAATAAATGATTATAACATCTAAATGAAGTCCTGTACCCATGCAGACCTGTTGGTCCTTGTGGGTTTTGTAGTGGTTGCTGTTGCCTGTTGGAGGCCCTCTAACATAAACATCTTCTAAAAAGTAAAAACATGTTTGTGGTATCCTAATATTGCACCATGTTATGTTGAGAACTTCTGTTTCTCTGTCTGTAAATATTTTATTTGTAAATGCTTGCATCTTCATGTGTCATGGCTCCCCAAATAAAAGAACAAAGTTAAGAGTAAATGAATCAGTACTATTGGGTACTGCTCATCTTTGCGATTGAATTTCCTTTACTATAATGGATATGTAAGGTTTCTAAGCATGGAAATATCTAGGTATTCTAAAAAAACTACATTACAGCAAGGCAATTGAATTATTATTTTGCAGGCTGATATGGATCACCTTGTGGGTGATGGATGTTTGGGTGACAGTGTTGATTCATTCTTATCTGCTGATGATACAGGTGTTGGCAAAGGTATGATAAATATAATATATGAATTATCTGCCTTTCCTTTCCCCCTTCAAAAAATATTCCAATTCAATAAGCACTTTCTGGTTTGGATTTTTTATACGACTACATGGAAAAGCCTAAGATTTCAAAATTCAATTGGTTTACTGTACATTAGAATTCTCATTCAAGGAAATCAAGCATATAATGGCAAGTTCACACAAAGTTGAGTGTTGTCACTTCTCATCGGATGGAAAACTTCTTGCTACCGGTGGCCATGATAAAAAGGTAAGTGCTAGATTGACCCAACTTTAACTATGAACTGATCTCCATTTCAGTAGAAATGTTGCATTTAGTAGTTATTGGAATAAGCTTTTGTTTATAGATTTTTGGATTTGTTAAACTTTGAAACCTGCTGTTATAAAACTTGGACTGAATTGGTTGGTTTGTTGAGTGAACCGGCTAGGTAATAAAATCAAAGAAATCATTTTTTTTGTGCTTTGTATGGTGCAGGCTTCTTTGTGGTGCACAGAACAGTTTAACCTGAAATCTACACTTGAAGAGCACAGTGAATGCATAACTGATGTTCGATTTTGTCCAAGCATGTTGCGTGTTGCTACATCCTCAGCAGATAAAACTGTTAGGGTTTGGGATGTTGAAAATGTAAGTCAAGATTTTATTGGTCAAATTCAATTCAATTTTTTCAAAGTAAAGTTCAATTAATTTGGTTTGGTAAAGAAGTTTAGAATTTTTTTTATCATGTAAATTTATGCAGTGAATTAACTAAATCCTTTACCCTATGATTGAATGGAGAGAAAATGAGGGAAGATAGAGATTTTTTTTAATATTTTATTCCAGAGGTCAATTTTTCTTTCCTTTTTCTCTTCAACCAAATTAAAGAAAATATGCTGTTTTTTCATTTTTTTTCTTCTTTTTTTCCGTATCCTCTCATTTTCCATAACATAACATAATGTTAAGTTATGACACATGTCTAATGTCACATCTTACATGTCTTAATATATTATTAATCACATTTGTTTTACACCCTATTTTTCATTAGCCTTCTATTTCTTTTATCATTCCCTCTTTCCTTGGCCATTAAAATTTCAGCAACGTTATGGATTACTTTAGCCTATAATTATTAATGAATTTGATATGAAAATCTGGTTGGATCAGTCTGAGAACTAGAGTATGGTCATGAATGATTGAAATTAGAGGAAATAGATAGGTCAAAGAAAGAGGGGACAGGGTGTGCCTATATGTGTATGAGAACTTAAAAGGTTATTAATTCTTGATCTAATGATCTTAGTTAGCAATAATTATGCAACTATGTGGTGAAAGTTGACTAGCTTCAAACATGTAATTCTAATCAATTATAATTTCTTTAGTTTATGGGGTGCATCAGAGTTTTTTCTTATCAGTTTAGGTGCTATTTAATTAGGTGATCTTATTTTTCTCATATAATTGATGGAATTTTGATTATTATTTGCAGCCTAGTTTTTCTCTTCGAACATTCACAGGTCATGCAACAACTGTGATGTCACTAGATTTTCATCCAAGCAAAGAGGACCTTATTTGCTCTTGTGACAATAGTGAGATAAGATACTGGAGTATTAATAATGGTAGTTGTACTGGGGTTTTCAAGGTGTGAAATCTCAAACATTAACTGTGAAGCACATCCCAATTCCCAATGTATTGTTATAATTTGATTGCAAATAACTTAATTTTCCAATATTTTATCAGGGTGGTGCAACTCAGACGAGATTTCAACCTTCTTTGGGAAGGCTTCTTGCAGCTGCAGCAGATAATCTCGTTTCCATTTTTGATGTTGAAACCCTGGGTTGCAGGCTTAAGTTACAGGTCAGCTGTGAGTTTTCTGTTTATAATACCCTTATTCACTTGTATTTTTAACATTACATTTTAATTTCTAGTCTACTGCTAAAATTTCAATTAACCATCAACAATGCTAGAACGTTCTTGAATTGATAACCTATTCTTTATTCACATATACATTTTCTCGAGTATTAGATTATTTTGCTATTTACCTCAAAAGATAGCCAGATCAATAGTTGATTTTTTTTTTTTTTACTTTGATTTAATGTGGCTAAACAGTAAATACACCTCCATCATCAAAGTTATCGGTAATTTTGGGGTAACGTACATGTGATATTATGAATGAGGTAAGATAGCAGGTGTTTAGAGCTGGGAGAGACCGAGATAGCAAACCATTGAAAGGGTGGAGAGGCTGTTTCTGTGAAGAATCAGTAATTCTCAAGTAATATGGAAGAAATAACATATAGTGTAGTAATAAAGTTCACTCGAATTATTAGATGGTTAACAATTTTGATAAGTCAAAATTGATAGCTGCACAGAGTAGAATTTTTAAAATCATTCCTAGTAGCCTTTTACCTTTGGCTTTTAACCACCAAGGAAGACTCCAAATGAGGTGAAACCGTTAAAAAGGCTTGTAAATTAAATGCTCTTGCTTTGCTGAAGAATTGATTCGACAAAACATAATAGCATCATTTAATTTATATAGCCAACCCCACCTAGTAGGAAAATGACTTAGGTTGTTATTGTTGTATGAATATTGGAGGGAATTCAATACGCCAGTTGTTGCTTAAATAGAATTTTGCCTCTTGTAGTACATTGATATGGTCAATAATTGGAATTTTTATGTAATGTACATAGCGGTTGGTAGGTGTTTTTTGAATGAAACGTAACTTAACATGCATTCTATTCTCTGTTTGGTATATTTTATGAATAAAACAGAACTTTAAAAAGAATGGTACAACTTGGTTCCAATAAAAAAGGTGGAAGCAAATGAAATAGAACAAAATCACTATTAAGTATTATTTAATTTATTGACAAGATACCATTTACTTATTTCTTTCCTACCTTTTTGCCTTTTTTTGTGATTGCTACTGCAAGTTTCCACACTCTTATCAATTTTGTGCATTGCGTTTAATATCAAGGCATGTGATCTATTAGATTATTGATATTGTGATTAATGGATAAAAGCAGGTTAATCTTTTCATTGAATTCTTTTTCTTTCACCACATTTGCCATGACTATTTGATCATTCATTCATATATATATATATATAATTTTAAAATTATTTAGTGATCCAAGATGTCACAAAAAGATATATACTATTCAATTATGTTTCTGAATATCTAACTAAATTTAATTAGGATAGGGATGTGTAACTGAAAACAATGTTATTTATGCTTAGCGAGCACCAAATGCAAAACAGGATTCTAGGTTCGGTTTTGTTTCAATTACCAAATACAGTACAAAGCAATAATGTCTCATTCTATTCTGCTTCATTGTTTTGTTCGTGTGTCAAACATTACTGTATTTATTTTTCTCAAAATGAGCTAGAATTTATCCATTCCATTGATGCCACCTTTCTGTGGCTGTTTTTTAATGACTATTTTATATTAATCAATCTTGGTCTGATGCTTCATTTTAGGGCCATAATAATGTTATCCGTTCTATGTGCTGGGATTTGTCGGGCAAACATTTGGCTTCTCTTAGTGATGATCTGGTTAGAGTATGGAACGTTGGATCTGGAGGCAAAGGAGAATGCATGCACGAGTTGAATGCATCAGGGAACAAATTCAGCACCTGTGTTTTCCATCCCTTCTATCCTTTGCTGGTCATTGGCTGCAATGAGGTAAGATATCTCTTATCGTTTAGTTATTATTTTAAAGAATAAAACATGTTATTTTGTCTTTGCACCAATAAACACTGTCTTCCTTTTCTTCATTGACTTGGAAGTTTTGTTTTTGATGTTGAATGATGGGGTTTTCAGACTCTTGAGCTGTGGGACTTCGGTGAGAACAAAACATTGACTCTACATGCACACGACAAGGTTGTATCTTCCTTGGCAGTATCAAATGTTACTGGATTTCTGGCTTCAACTAGTCATGACAAGTATTTCAAGATCTGGAAGTGACTAGCATTTTGCCCCATGGTGTTGACAGTGTAAATAGATATCGGGTTTCACCAAACATACTAGGTTTTCTTTTGTCCCTTTTGTTCTTTCTTCGTTATATAGATCCCTCCAACAGTGAAAGGGATGTTTTGGATTTTAGTCTGGTCCCTGATTGCTAATACAAGTCATACGAGCCCTGTGAAAATTTTCCCTACACTTGGTTTAGACATAGAAAAGGGTATACGATGAAAGTGTTACCTCAAGTACGCTTAGTGATACATGTTTTGAATTTTTACTTGGGAAATATCATTGCTATTTAGTAAATTTATACCAAGTTGTTTATAGGATGAAATAATGCATGTATATTGAGTAACATGTTGCTTAGATTATTTTTTATACGGTTCTAGACGAACTCAAAATGCGTTTCAGGACGCATACGTGCTTATAAACGTGTTAGGAATCTTCTCTCTAAAAAATTAAAAAAAAAAAAAAGGTGTCAGGAAGCCCATCTTACACTCGTGAGTCGTGTCTGTGTAAAACCCCCATATAATAGCAAAATAAACGAAAAAGCTACACATCGGATTGAAATTGACGTGCCGACAATGCGACAAGAAAAGGTTTACCAAACACCATTTGGAAAATAAGCGTTGTTGCTCATTGTTTTCTAATTGGATGCCAAATTTGCCTTTAATGGTGTTTAAAGAAAAAATTAAGTTGAGCAATCACAGGCTTCATCATCAAGGGGCAAAGTGCTTAGACCGGAAAAAAACTTGGGATGATTGAAACAAACTCGATGAGCATGATTTATTGATTAATACTTCTCCGATGAAGATTCACGAGGAGTAAGAGTTAGCTATCACTATATATCAATACTCAAGTCAGCATGATAGTTTCATTGTTTTTCTCTTTACGTAGATTTTATCTACACAGAAAATAGTATTAATTGGATACAAGTTTAGAAATATTTTTGAAATTTTTTCAATAAAGAAATTCTTAGAAACACTTTTAGGTTAAATTCACATAAAATGTATAAAGATGACGGCTGAGGAGATCAATCTTGGCTTTATGAATTACTCAACATAGAAGTAAGGCAACAAAAGGAAGATATATTTATCTTTTAAAAGAAATGTATTGAAACTCTGTTAAAGAAGGTTAAGATGTACAAAGGCAAGTTTGTCACTACTCCACTTGTGACAAATGAAAAGCTACAAAACAATGACAGAGGATCAAATGCAATTCTTTTATCAAGATTTATGTAAAGGCTATATAGAAATAGTTTGATCGAGAATCTACTATATCCGCATGGACAAAGATCATGTAGGCTACAATTCTTTTATCAAATTTACTATGGAGAAGCCACTATAATTATGAGATATTTTCATGATACAAAGGACACTAATGTGGTAGAGATATTCCATGTAGGATGTTGACCTTGAACAGACATATATTTCAATGACACAATTTTATGATAAGTTAATATGTGATATAAAAATTTTACTTTTTATGTTGAGTGGTTATTGTCCATAGTATGGATATTAAATGTGATGTTTTAATCACATTGTCACCACATTGTATGTTGCATGAGATCATACCCACCATAAATTTTTTTTTTAAAGATTTTGTTTGTTTCTAAAATTTTTCCAAATCGGTATAGAAAAAATACATCTCAGACAATTCAATAAAGCACATGACTATCTAGTTCAATACATACTTATATAATATATAATATATCTCATTTAAATATAAATAATGTACAAAGTAAATTAGCTAACAATTAAAGAGAGTTAATAATAAAATTGAAATGAACAAATACTATTATTAATTATTAACAATGGACAATTATTGTAAGAATGTATCAATATTATCTAATAACAATGAAATTAAAGTAAATTAGCCATTAAAGTTAAATATGAATATCATGTACACAAATAAAACTAAACTAATTTAAAAAAAAACGTCATCCTCAAATTGACTCGGTCAATGTTTATCTTTTGCGAATATCCTCAAATTCTTTATCAACAAATGAAGTTAAATTTTTGAATATCTACAATTAATTCAACGTAAAATTAATTTAAACACTATTCAATCATTAAACAATTATTTAATATTAAAAGTAATTAAATTAATTTAAAAGTATATTACTCCCTTTTTCGAGTCTTTAATATTGATGATAATAATAATGAATGTATATTTTATCATTCATATTTATGATTACTCAATTAATGTGAATACTACAATTTAATGAATATAAAATATAAATAAATTAAATACAATCAAAATATATTTTAATTCAATTATAATTATTATCAGATTCACAATTCACTTACTTTTAAGACTATATTGAAGCTTCATTTATTCAACTGTAATTCATATATACCCTTTTACAGTCCCTCTCACTGCAATCCAACAAAACAAAACAACTAAAAAATATACATGTAGAAGAGTTTACTAGCATCTTAATTATTAAAGAAAATTCTCAATTGAGTACGCAATTTACGATGAATGTCATACTTCCACGGTGACTTTAAACAACCAATAAATAAATAATCACCCATATAATTGTTTTTCAAAAGATAAATATAATAAAATAAGGAATTGGGTGACCTAACCTTGTCTGCCACTAGTAAGCTTAAATTGAACGCCTTTGTCTACAAACTTTGCAAGGTCCAAAATCGTTTCTTTTCTGTCCGACTGATAAATTTTTAAAGGGAGAAAAAATAGAGATGAAATAGATTTGAAATTGAAGATGTGATTGGGGTTTGCTGAAGCACCACCTAAAACCATTAAAGTCATTAAAAAAAAAACCCATTAGGTATTTCATTTAACATCTAGGAGACACCACTAAAATCATCAAATGTGTCCATCAATACTCCATTCCTTCATCCCCAAAATTTCAAACAACACGATACAATCATGTAGTTGCAGCCATAAAACAAACAGATAAGAAAACAAACATACCAAACAAACATAATTTATTTCATATCCTATTAATTTATATTAAATACAAAATAAATAATATAATAATATTATCTAATTTATTATCATAATATATACCAAATATTGAGTAAAATTAAAACTTCTTATTTTTATTCCCCCATACTCTCATATTATATCTTCTCTACCAAACTGCCCTCAAGGTTTGCATATGCATATCTCTAAACACATGTATTTTAAAGACGTCTATACTTTAGAGTATTACATCACTTTTCAGAATGTAGATATTTTGTGGAGAACCTTATTTTTATTATTAGAAAACATTACAACGACAAACATGGAAACTAAATTGTCATGCATCTACCCACCGAGAATGGAACTAATGGTAGGTTTTACTGAGTCTTGAAGAGTTTTAAAGGGGTCCCCGAAAATGCTGCAATAATGTGACTGAACTAATAGTGTGTGGGCCTAGGCCCATAGCTCTGTCTGGTTCAGGACACACCGGGTATGAGTTCCGTGCAAAGAGAGGCTGGGCTTTGTTGCTTCTGATTATTTAATCTAATATTGACTTATATATTTAAGGAATGATTTTTAATGAAAATATCACTTATGTGTATAGAGAGTCTGGGCTTTGTCTAATATTATTTCGTCTTCTGGGGTTAACCCCAGTGATTCAAATATCAGATCCATCATCTTTTCAGTTGATTTCTTCATCTCTTTCTGACACTCCTCCATCACAGTACTGCATCAAAACACGCATGCATCACTCTCTCAAAGCCAATTCAATAATAAGGAAACATATTTTCGTTACTCTCAACAAATTCCAAAACTAATAATTAACTAGAAAACAAGGTCAAGTCGGGGGTAATGATAAATGCAATGCAGATTGTATGCTTTATATTTAATCACTAAGGCATGCTAAGGTACGTGAAAGTCAAATATGCATGCATATGGTGGTGCATGTTTTTAACACGAACACAATTATGCTCTTTATTTTCAGCGCTTCTAACTTATATCAACATATAAACCAGAAACTAGTCTGTTGGTCCGGTTGATGTGGCCAAAGTTGGATGGCATGCTCTGCCGGAGAGTCTATCATTGTGAAACCTTCAACCCGCGAGAACTTAGAGAAGTATCTTTGAATGCGAGGTTTCTGCTGAGCTGATAAGTTAAATAACCGAAGTGTTTCCTTCAAGAGGCTCATGGGGAGTGCCATGATTGATGACTTGGAACGCACTCCATTTCTGACATGCTTCTCCAATCAGCCATTGCCCATTTGGCATTTGGGTCAGAGAGGTCTATGAGGGGCATGGATTCGACTAATGTGTGTGGTTCCACCATCTCCCATTTGTGAGAATCGGGCACGTTAGGGCGCACTGCATGTTGAAGTCCAATGGAACTTTGTGGTTGAGGTGGTTGGGGTTGTTCTTGTACGAGTTTGAGAGTGAATCCATTCTTCAAAACCTAAATTAGACACACTTGCCACTAAACAGGACATGCTCTACTCTCTTGCGGTGTGTCTATATATATACAAGATGCTGGCTAGTTTACCATTACCAAGGTCCTAAGATAAGAGATTATTAAATAATTTAAAAGATTCATTTCTCAGTGAATTAACAATTGAAATTTTGATTCAATTGATTAAATTAATCAATTATTTAATTTAAAAATTAATTTTAAATTTTTTTTTTTATCTTTCTTTTCTATGTATTTTTTTTTATTAAACCAAACATTCTTATTTTTAATGTACTTTTCTCTTCTCTATTTTCATCTATTTCTATCAATCCTACCAAACATGTTCTATCTGACAGTATTCAAAATTTTAGTTTATAACCAAAAAATAACACAATTGTATGTGAGATTATATACTTAAACGCAACCATGCAATTCTGTACTTAAAAAAAGAGAAATTAATTATAAGCATTCTGACATGTGTTTGAGATGTAAAATTCTATGATAATTTCTATTTTCCAGAAAAAAGAAAATAATATATCCACAATTATCGGTCGAGATATAATCGGTTAAGAAAAAAAAGTCTGGTTCAACTGTGTCTCAGAGCTTCTCTTGGATCTTTTGTCGACCTCATTACATTAATTTTGTTTTTTTCTGATATATATGTCATGTAATTTATCTGTAGTGGTAATGCAGAATATAATAAACCTCCACATACTATATTCATGCAGCGAGCGCAATAGTATACAAACTAAAAATAGGACCGTGTCAGTCATTAACTCGATTAAAGACGATCAGATCTTACATATATAAGAGACAGGACGCAGTTAAAAAAAAGAAAAAGAAAAAAGAAGACAATATCAGATAAATCCTCGTACCTTGTCTGATATAATATAAAATATCTATATATGCGATAAAATTGTCTGTATTAGATGATTTACACAGAATATGCTAGTTAATAAATACCTGATGAGAAATAAAAAAAAGAGAGTATAATATAAGTGGTACTTAAATCTCTATGATATATTTTTTTTAAAGTTAATTATTAAATATTAAAAAATTATTATATATGTTGTGGAGATGAAGTCACTACAAAAATGTTTCAGATTAGAGTCGACAAAAACTGACTCTAAATAATAAAAATTGACATAATATTATTGGTTATTCGTCAATTTTTAATTGATGTTAAATAAGTTGACACAATTTTTTTATATCGGTTAAGTCATCGGTAACAAATTTATTTATTTTAATTTTTTATTATCGGTTAAGCCGACACTATGTTGAAACAAAATTTATTTTATTTTTTTCTTTATCTTCTTTTTCCAACTTATCATTTATTCATTCGTGTTTTTAATATTCTTGAGACTTGATCTTGGAACCTTGACGTCTTAAGTAAGCTTGATAACTAAGTGCACCATAACACATTATGCATATATAAGATTAAAAAAATTATCTTTATCTTTCTCAAAACACATATATGGTTAAAAAAGTCGATGTTATTTTAAGATATAACGTCGATTTAATTCGACATTAAATTTAAATTAAATTTTGTGTCGAAAAAGTCAACGATTATTTTCGGTAGCTATTTTAGTATTTTGTGATAGTGAGTTAACTTTTTCTCACTTTTCTCCCTAAGCACTAAGGTTATGTTTGAATTTTTTTTTTGGGCTTAAAAGTTATTTGAAAGTTTAAAATTAAAATAAGAGTTTTAAAAATAAAACAGAAATTGTTTGCCAACTTTTATTTTTATATTTTTAGTTTTAAAACTCTTTTTAAGATAAATTTATTTGGTAAAAAAATCAATATTATTTTATACTAATTAATTGCCTCACCTAATATAGAAGAATGTGTTGATAAACATATATTATGTAAAATTAATTTAATTAATATAAATTAGTTTTAATGATGAAAAATAGTAAGGTATTAAAATATATACATTTAAAATTTTAATTTAAAGTATCAAAAAATATTTTATTTAATAAAAGTTACTTTAAATATGATTTACAAATATCTTTTATATATAATATTAATTAAATAAATTTAAGAGTTAAATAACTCATGTATATAGGAGTGATTTGCTTTGCAAAGGAAAAAAATATGTGTAAATGTAGGCAATAAGATATATTTAGGGTGTAAAAAATATTTAATCTTTAAATATATTAGAGAAAAACATGGAACCTAATACCTCATCCATACTATTTAACTCTCACAGTTAAGCAGGCCTTAATAAATATTCCATTGTCAGAAAGATGATGACCGAGTAAAATAATAACACAAAAATTAAGGAATGTGCCTCTTAAATATATAATATTTGGTTCGGATAAATAAAGGAAATAAATTTATTTACTTGATTAAAAATTTAGAAAAAAAATGAAGAGGACAAAATTAAATTTTTCTCTTTTCTAATGAAAAAATTTAAAGCAGGCAAAATTGTTTATAATATTCTTGACTTTAATATTTAAATTGCCATGAGATTACTTTTAAATTCAAAAGTTTCCTAAAATCTTTTGAGACCATTGCACAAAGATCTGCGTCTCATAGTTTCTTCAATTTCACGTCTTAGCAGCCTCGCTTCTTTTTATGGCGATGATTCAGTCCAAGTGCAAGTTTGGCCATTTTTGTTAAATCATACTAAAGCTTTTAAGTATAATGACTACTTGTGCAATATTTAGAGTTGAATGTCACCTGCAATATATTTGAACCAGATTGATGAGATGCATTAATATTGACATTGAGTATATTTTAGTTTTCATAGAAGCTTTTTTTGTTTCGTGGTTATCCTCATCCATTCCATTGTGTGTTTTTTATTAAGGTCTATCTCCATTGTGAATTGAATCATTTGCCTTTGTGTCACGACTCACGAGTCTATTTAGGGGACATGCATTGGTGATCAGATTGATAGCCTACTGTGTCATGACTCTGGTCTTCAGAGTTGGTTGTGACCTCTTGTGGCCCATGGTTACATGCATTGGTTAAATTTGATGGCAAATTTTGTTGTTAATGTTATTCTATAGACCATATTGCTCGTTACTAAGTCAAGTCACAATTTAATGCATTGGAAGAAGAGGAAAGTTAAAAGAAAGCATTTTAATCTATTGGATCATGAACTGCATATACAGAAGCATGGTGAAACTGCGCCCAAGTCTGCAACAGCTTGCATATGTTGCACCTTATCATTTGTTTTCTTAGCTAGGCAACAAATTTAGGATTTTTGCGTAGCATTTAAGTTTTAGTATTTTATTACCAGTAGAATAAAGACAATATATCTGCAACTATACTTATCTGTACAAGATGGGGTCAATTTATCCTTAATGCAAGATCAACTTCTATTACTCTAAGAATTATTAAGATAATATCATTTTAGAATTTAAAATTTGAGCCATTTAATACACGAATAAATTTGACATTAGCCGTAATATTTGAGAATAACATATAAAATGTACACATATAATTCTCAAAAATATAATAATTAAAAATTAAATTTAAATATATTCAAGATATCGATAATATATTAATATTTTATCTTTAGAAAATTTTTTAATTATTCAATGATACCTTATTAATACGGTAATAAAACTAAAAATAAAAACATGTCAAATAATTAACCTAGACTAATTTAATACTCACACAAAACTGAATAATTACTATGCATTTATATCATCACAAGTGTACATGCAATTATGTAAAATACCATCATTCCTTAGGATTAACTAGTACACACATAAGTTACAAGGTCAAAATTTTTTATATTTTAAAATAAACTAATTTTCACAAGAAAAATCACTTTGGTTATATTATTTCAATTAATTAATCTTAAAAATTTATAAACCTTTTTTAGTATTTGAATTAAAAATTTAAAAACCGAATACAAATTATCATATAAAATAATTACAAATATTATAAAACTAAAAGAAAAAATACTTCAGCTATTCCTTTTCATTTACTTACGTACAAGAATCAACAATTTTCATTGCTAAACAAGTAATGAATACGATACATTAATTCCAACTTTCCTTTAATTATATCTACAAATATTACCGTGTGTTTATATATAATATTAAATTGATTATAAAATCAATTATTATTGCAATAATGCAAATATATCAAACCAAATGGCTTTTTAATTTAATATGCAATTAATATATCATTTTAAAACCAAATGAATTTTCAATTTAAAATCAAATGAATTCTCAATTTAAACACAATATAACAAATTGAAACCAACAAATAATAATAATAGTAATAATAATTAATAATTTAACAAAAAAGAATCCAAAAGAATAATATAATCAATAGCGAATCAATGCATTCATAGTATTCATTAGTTGCGAATCAAATATATTGTAGAAATAAGTCTTATTCCACTAATAAAATAAATAGGATTTCAATATTGTTACAAGTGAATAGAATACTGAAATAGTCATATATATACATGAATTTTCTTTTAACCGAAAACACATCATAAATATATATAATACTATTATGAAGAAGCATGTCTAAAAAGTTCCTAATGATCAAACATGATAAAACTCTGATACTAGTTATTGAAACCAAACTTAAGCCTTTGATAAAGACTATCATTTGTATAAAACACATAATTTATCATGTTAATCACTAGAAATAACACTACAAGAAATGTTACATATAGTGACATATAAAAAGTGTCACTATAGGTACAATATATGTATGTATATGTCTATTTGACATATAGTTACATACAATTTTAGTGTTAATTTTGAATGAGATTTAACAACATGTTTTGTGTGTCACTATAGTCTATACCCACACTTTTTAATAATCTACCAACATATATTGTAGTTATTGTGTAGGTAAAAGTAATTTTTAGTGACATGTATAGTGTCACTATATGGTGTGTGTCACTATATGACAATTTTATTGTAGTGTAATAAGTAAAAACATATTTGAACTCATGATAATAAGAGAGCGATGTAATTTGGTCTTTCAAATCAATATGTACTCTCTTGAGAAAACCTTTTAGTTATCCTTATGTCTCTCTCTCTCTAATAACGGGATGCTAGAAAAGAAAAGAACATTGTGTGATCTAAAAACCCAACCTATTTACACTACAAGAAAAATGACTTATGCCTACACACAAAAAATGTCACTAAAAATCTAAATTCTATAGGTAAAGGTATCATGGACTTTGACCTATAAACATTGAAGTTGTCAACTTTGAGGTGACATATAGCTACAACTAATAGCCTATCACTATAAGTTTTACCTACAAACATAATTTTACCTACAACTACATTTGATTGTCACTATAAGAGCTACCTACAATTTGCAATATGCGTGAGTAAAAATCATTGACTTATATTTACACTCCCTACTATAGGTAAATACCATTAAGTTGTACTTATATGTTATGAATGTAGGTAAAAGTCATTAACTTATTCTTACATGCTCTGACTATAGGTAAAAATATTTTTTATTTTATTTATTTATTATTATTATTGTACCTATATATATATATATATATATATACATACATACATATATGTATATATCTCTTATAGAGAATATGTGTACTCTATACGAAGTATAGTTCAAATTTCATTAATTGATATATTGATATATCTAATTTAATATTTTGTTCTTGCTAAATTTCATTAAATAATAAAACTATATATACAAAATATATTATAATATTATTTTATATTATCTTAAAATATAACAGACATATTTAATATCTAAATTAAATTTAGATAAATAAACTAAACTAATGGTATTTTCTATCATCTATTAGCGATGAATTGTTATCGTTTAATTAATGATGTTGAATTCGGATTCTAAATTAATATTTAGTTACATTGAATATTTGAAAGAGGAGAAATTTCTTTTTCTTTTGTCTTCAATACTGTTTTCCTTACGTCTATTATACTAGTCTTAATTACATGACATGAAGAGAGAAAATTATGATCTGGAAAAAAAAAAGAGTACTTTTTAACGCACGAATCAGTGAGTATTCTTCTGCTGTTTCTACCATGGTTCCTTCCTATCATATTTCCTTTTTTTCAAGTTTTTGTCTTGGCCTGGTGGTTATCTCTTTGGTAATTCTCATGGAATCATGCAAATGCGTTGCCTTGTGAATTGTCTTGGCTCGTATAGGATTCTATATGCATTTCGTCAAGACAATTTTGACTATATATAAGCCCTGCCTCATCATCACTCACATGCTGGATGATTTTCACTGATAGAATCATTTGAAACATTTATAGGTACCTAAATGAGAAAAAAAAAAGATTTTTTAATTTATAAATAATTATATCATTTGAGTTATTAAATAAATTGCATTATAAAAATTCATACCTCTTCAGCTACAGCTTGTAAAACTTGATTAATCTGTGGATCATCTACAAACCGTGATTGAAGGACAGCAACAAGATTTCCAAGCAAATTCTCTAATTTTTGAATTCTATTGTCTATGGTAGAGCTTTGGTATGAACTTGCATGTCGTGGAAGCTTTCCAAGACAACGCACTCGTCCTCTTTTTTCAGGTCCTTTAACTTTTGAGTATATATCATTTTTCCAATTGGTAGTATCTTGAGTGGTTTGTGAACTTTCTACCTCAATCATATGCTTCTTCAACTCATCCTACATAAGAAAACAATAAAAAAATTATAAAAATTTTTGTCCTAATTTATTGTACAACTCTTTTTGATGTTTTCACAACTTTTCCAAAATAATAGACTCTGGTATTTTATTGCTAAGAATTTTTGTATGTACTACTTTTATGCATACTCATGAGCCAAATCAAAGTAAACTTGAACCTGGAACAAAAAAGTATGTGTATTGGCTATGCTCCCAACCAAAAATGATATAGATGCTTTGATCCTATTTCCAAGAAAACCTGTGTGTCTATGGATGTTACTTTTTTTTAAAAAAGACTCCTTTTTCCAAAATCATCTTCACGGGAGAGAAAAAAGGAAGATGCTATCCAATATTTTTAAACCTCAGATTTTCCTATCTTACAAACTTTACAAAATTCAGATTCATTAACTTTTGATTCCATACAAAATTCAGATTCAGATACTCAAGACTGCCATGAATCTAATGAATCATCCTATCTCAAATTTTGTCCAACCTGTTCAAACTATAGTTGACTCTGTCCATGATGATTTTGACCTTCCTATTGCTATTAGAAAGGGTATTAGATCATGTACAAAACATCCAATATCAAATTTTGTCTCTTATGAAAAGTTATCCCCCTCATTTCAGGTTTTACTTCACAACTGACGAAAACAGAAATTCTGAAAGATATGCAGGCTGCTCTGAGGGTTTCTAAATGGAACATACAATATTTGTGAAATAGTCAACTCATCCAATATTTGAAATTTGATACAACCAATTTTCATATTTTATAGTACTTGCCAAAATTTATATAATTCAAGTACAAGAATTTTAGACAAAACTAGTGATCAACTATAATAAATTGTCATGAAAATGGTGGTCAAATAAACATGTCACTGAACTAAAAACAATAGTTTCGATATTAAACACAAAAGCAATATACCAAATAAAATTCTTACAATTACAGTAACAACTTTTTCTATAACAATGCTTCCATTTTGTCGGGTTCGAGTGTTTATATAAATTTGTGCTCGAGCAGGTTGCACTCCTTTAGCCTTTATTGTCTAACATTAGTCACAAAAATATCAACCATTATATTTCCAATTACTAATTTTTAAAAGATGAAAAGAAATATTATCAAAAGAGACAAACCATCTCATGAACTAGTCTCAAAAGACTCTTAGTTCCCATGCAGTGTAAGTCTTCATACTTGCTACCTAGAGTTAGTTAAAAACTATCATATATAAAAGTTGAAAACACAAGATATGACATCACTAATAGTTCAGCAACTTAATCAACTTTTTGTATTGCAAACTTAACTTTTTTACTTGGCCATCTTATAAATGACTTCGTTATTTCGTTCAGTTTTAAGGAAGGCCAACACTTACACGTTCTATTTATTCTTAAGTACATTTTTGCTTCAAAAGGTTAAATTCCATTTTCAATAATATCAAATTCATAATTTTAGTTTTCGATGTTTCCACAATAATATCCTATATAGCAACATGTTGTGCATCACAAATGCTCATGCTCATGTGCTTACTCAAGTAGAAATTAACCTTCCCTTATATATGATTATATAATTAATTGCAAATAAGCTAGAACATGATCATTTTTGGCTAATTTCCTAACTAGTATATATGTGCATGCAGGGTGGTGATTCAAATATTGTAAGAGCAGCAAAAGAAGGGGCAGTGAAAGCAAGAGAGGTGGTGGAGAATGTGGGAGAGAAGGCTAAGGAAAAAGTAGAGACAACTTTGAATGCAGCAAAGAATAGTGAAGAATTGGTGAGAGATTCTTCAACAACCATAATGGCTGAGGCTGATACCAATGTTCATCTATATATCCGATGGTTTTTCCTCTTTTTGTCACTTTAATCTGTTATGGGTCATAGAAGATTGAACAAAATTAAGTTAGCTAATGTTATATATGCTTCATTTTGTTATTGGTTGTATAATAATTTATAAATTTTGCTCACTTTGTTTGGAGATACATAGGAATCCATATTATATAATGTCATTTGAATCCAAAAAATAATAGCTTCTGGTGCCATGTCAAAATGGACCAAAACTTGTTCACCTGTTTATTATAAGTGAAAAGTACTGAAAAATCTGATGTTTTACGGTTTTGGATTACATTTTAAGTCTACATTTTGAAAACAGCCAGGGCCACCCAAACATGGACTCAACTACCATACTCCTACAATATCCACTAGGAACAAATAAAATATCTCAAATCTTCTAAATTTTATATTACTTCATTACATACTTGGAAAAGGCCTAGGAGATTGGAATTGCATACCAATCTTTCAACAAATGATAGGTGTTCAAAATATATATTTCATTCTGGAAACTACAACTGATTAATGGTGATAATTACTTGTGTAAAAAAAGTCTCCGTGGTACTTAGGACAAATTCTGTAGATTGACTGTGAGTATTTCTGCTCGTAACTATATTTTATGTTTCCTATACAAACTATATGCTGAGATTACTTAAATTCGTACAATTTTTTCGTGATTGCAGGCAGCTTCCCTATACTCAAAAGTATCCAGTGAACCCATAGGAACAATATTTAATAGTCTGAAAATGGAATCAAGGCTTTCCTCAGCCAGCTGTTTAAAATAAAGGGAGTTTCTTTTTCATGTTAAACAAATAAAAAAATTACCTTACATCAACTAGGAATTTCTGCATGAAGAATAAAGACTTCAGGGCTTAATGTTAAAAAGCTGAAGAAAATTGTATATAGCAAAATTTTCATCAATGGGAAAGCTAAAATAATGACATGGAAGCATATAGCAAAATTGTATATTCCATCAAAGTTTTCTTTAAAATTGTAGTCATTTAGTATTTTTATAATCACTATTATTATCAACAGATCAATCTGCTGAGTGGGAGATTCACTCCAGCATATTTAAAAAATGAAATCTTAGTTTTACTTTTTTGTATTTTACCTATAAATAAATTCGACGTTATCTTGACTTGCATTTATGATGAGTGTTAATGTGTTATGCAAATAAGATGAGTGTTAACTAATTTTGCTTGAATTTATGATGGTAGAGGAATTCAACTGTGAGGTTGGCACTGATGGTAAAGTTACATGACGATCGACATTCCAATTATAATCTACAGAGGAAGAATCCAAGAGTGAGAAGATATAAAATACCTATTGATAAACTGATGAACGTTCGAATACGAGATTTGTGAGTGCTTCTTCGACATCTGTTAGCAAACTCAGTACCAATAAACAAATCCTACATTAGACTCAAGAAGAAAAAGAGTATGAGATAAAATTTGAAAGTAAAGCGCAATGAAGTAGAGGACTTGGGATTATATGAACCAAAAACCTAGATTAGAAGAAACAAATAAGCTGTAGGAGATATGCAAATTCACGATGAAGAAACCTATGAATAAACAATATTGAAGAAGCATTTGAAGGTTGTCGAGACTTAGAACGGAGACATGATTCGAGACTTAGAACGGAGACATGATTTGAGACTCAGAACAGACACGAGCGAGGAATGGGTGCGGAGGAATGGGTGCGTTTTGGGCTCACTGCCGTATATATAAACTTTTCAATGAAATTATTTATTTTGGGTGCGGAGGAATGATTTGATACATTTTTATTTAATTTATTAATTATTTATTTTTTAAAGATTGGTTATTTAATTCTAATTTTTAATTATATATTTTGTATTGATATTGATTTTCTATGAAATTAATTAGTCTTATATATAATTATTTATTTGTTTTACATGGATTTTTATTTATATTAAATAACTGTAGGTATAAATTTTGTAAATTTTTTACCTACCTAAAATAGTAGTAGGCATAAGTCTTTGAAGGCTTTTACCTACATTGACAATTTGTTGGTAGAAGAACTTTAAGTTGTATTGAGTTTTGCCTACACCAAACAAAAGTGAGTATAGATTTTTGAGTTATATCTACATTAAACATTTGTAGGTAATTTTTTTTTTAGTTTTACCTACACTAATTCAGGTCTATAGGTAAAAGTGTTTGTAGGAATAGGTTTTTTTTTTTTTTTTTTGTAATGTTATAGACAGTCATAAGGTTGTCTTTTAGTATTTTTATTTTTATCTATCACAAAATAAAATTACTCTTTAGTTACCACACATTAAAGGTTTTATATCTTTTCACATACATAATTGTCCAAATAATTTATATGTTATTAGATCACTTTAATTTAACATAACTTTATGTATTCTTAATATATAATTATTCACATATAAGACTTATGTTGAATTAGGGATCCAACAAGTTCCTCTTGATTTCTTTAAGGAGGCGTTTATTTTGAGACATAATATTGTATTCTTGAGAATTTTATCTCATGAATGTTATTTTGGTAAACGTATTTAGTTACGATTGTTAATTTTAGAAAAAAAATTTATTTAATTAAAAATAAAAAATATGAAATAATGTGGAATAATAAATTGAAAGCTTTAGTTATTGAAAAAAGTAATTTCCATTCCAGTGCGAATATAAGATATCATCCTTCACAATAAGAATGAAAAACATGTAATGTGAAAGTTTTTTATTCCCAAGAATAAAATATACTTGAAAACATCTTTTTATAACCTTCTAACAAACATGAGAATAGATATTCTCACCTCCACATTCTTGAGAATAGAAAAATACTAGTTGATACAACGCATCCTAAGTATCAATTGATTATATATAACACAAAAATATTTTTAAAATAATTAAAACAACATGTATATGTTAATTTTTAACTAAATAAAAAATAATAATATATAAATTAATTAATTTAGTTCGATTGTTTTATATTTTAAATATGTAAATTCGATATTCGAATCGATGAACATCAAATTTAATTAACTTATTTTAGGCTGGACCTGAAAAAAAACTAAATGAAAATTAAATTAATACAGTTAAAATCATATGATTAATCCGATTCAAAGAACACTATAACATGAGGTATGTCGTAAAATAATTATGTTTGGTTGTTTTCAAAATTACACCGAGTTACTCTTAAAAGTAAATTTAAGTAAACGGGGAAATACATGTAACAGATTGGAATGAGAACTTTAAATTTAAATTTACTTGAATTAAAACCATATTTAATGTAAAATCCAAGTAATGGAAGCTTAAGTTTGCAAATCCATATTTAATTAAACACGTATCCAAAGACAAAAGTATTTTGCGAACAACGGCGTCAATTTTCTCGATAAACTTATGGCGAGAATGTACATCGATTTTATTGAGAGGCACAAAGGGTTTTGAAAGGGGTACTGAATAATGTGAATGACAAAAAGATATCATTGAGTTTGAAAGAGCTCACTCAGCTGTAACCTTAATAAACTCAAGTGCTTTGTCGTAATGAACTGATTTGGCATAAATGTATTCCTTCCAAGTGACCGGGGAAAAGAGTGGAGGATCATGATCATCATCATCATCACCGGCCACCTTCATCAACGGTGATATCTTCACATCGGCCGGTGGGCCATACACGTGCGCAACGGAGATTCGGTGTTGTTCATTGTTCACCACCGCTCGATGCAGCACGTTTTTGAATCGACCGTTGGAGAGTACGTGCAGCAAGTCACCGGCATTGACCACAAGTGCACCGGGAACAGGCTGCACCGGAATCCACCCAATTCCGTCTCTAAAGACTTGTAAACCAGTGCAGCCGCTTTGATAAAGAACCGTTAGAAGCGATGTGTCAGTGTGTGGGCCCAGGCCCATCGCCTTCTCCGGCTCCGGACACACCGGGTACGAGTTCAATGAAAGGACAGACTGGGCTTCCTTGCACCCATCTTTGGGCTTTACCCATGTAAGCTCTTCTGGGTTTAATCCCAGTGACTCAAGAATCAGCTCCATCACCCTCCCCGATGATCTCTTCATCTCTTTCTGGCACTCCTCCATTACAGCACTACATCAAAATATGTATCACACTCTCGAAAGCAAAACAATTCAATAATCAATATTAATATATAAGATGAATTGTAGATATACCAGAAAGTAGTTTGCTGGTCCGTTTGATGAGGCCAAAGTTGGGTGGCGTGCTCCATCGGAGATCCTATCATGAAGAAAGATTCAGCCCACAACAACTTTGAACCGTAAGTTGTAGTGCGAGGCATCCCATAGCCGGTGACGCCATCGGGTAGCCGGAGAGCACCAAGTTTCTGATCAGTGGGTAAGTTAAATAATCGAAATGCTTCTTGTTCAACTTTCTTAAAGAGGTTCGTAGGAACGCCGTGATTAGTGACATAGAACACACCCCATTTCTCACATGCTTCTCCTATCAGCGATTTCGCATTTGGATCACAGAGGTCTATCGAGGGCACGGATCCGGATGTGTGTGGTTCCACGTTCTCCCATTTGTGGGAATCGGGTACGGTGTGCACATTCTTGAAGTCCAACGGAACTATGTGGTGGTGGCTGGGTTTATTCTTATACGAGTCTGAGATTGAATTCATTCTTACAAACTTGAATACCACTCGCAACTTTAAACAATACTGCACTCTCTCTTGCACTTCTCTCTATCTTCATTTATAGAACATGCTATTGCTAGGGTTTGTCAAGGTTGCAAGAGAGAGACACACACTTGTGTTGTCTTTTCTTTGCTGGCGGCTACGGATGTAAAAAAATCTGTACCCACGTGTGTATCATAACAGATGTTTTTTTCAGAGGCGTGTGTAGTGTACCATAACATTTCTAATAAGTAAAAAATAATATTGTAAATATATATATTTTGATATATTGATTTTATTGTGTTGAAGTCATTAATATTTTAATTTTTAAGATTGTGTTAAATGTGATTTTGTTGACTTTTCTTATTTTATATAAATTTGTATGAATTTGATTTTATTTAAATTTTATTTAGACTTATAATAGTTAAATATTCTATTTTATTATCTTTTTATTTTGATTTATGTGTAATTGAAATAGTTTATTTTTAACAATTATTATTTGAACTTTAAACTTACATCATTAAATGTTTAAAATTCACTTTTTAAATTCACTTATTGTTGAATTTTAATTTTATAATCTTCAAATTTTTCTTATGCAAATTTGATTTAAATTTTAGTTATAATCTTCAAACTTTTTTTTATGCAGATTTTATTTTACAAATTTTTATTTTTTAAAAGAAAAAATCTTACAAATAACTAAAATGTATGATTAAAATATTTTTAAAATATAATTTTTTAGTAAATATCTGCAAGTACCTACGAATATTCATGAATATTGAAAAAATATGTAAGTATTCACTTAATGCATATTTCCACGAATATAAAGATAGACATGAGGCAAACATTTATTCAACGGAGGGTAGTAGGGAGCTACTACTCATATCCGTTTTGTCCCATTGCCATTCTTACTAGTGTTTGTTGGATAATGTTTACGTATTATCTATATCTATATCTTTTTTTTCAAGTTTAGTTGAGTTAGATTAAGAGGTTCACCAAGGTGGATTCCAAGGTTCTATGAACACTTATAAAGATACTCATGAATTACCCACTAACAAGGTTTTCAGATCGACATAAATCAAATTTACGTCCTATGAGTTTGTTCCTTACTAATTTTGTTGGATATATCTATATCTATATTTATATATCCATAACTAAATATTATTATTAAAGGAAAAATAATATGCTAAAAAAAATTTCCACTCAAATTAATCTACATAATCCGAGCTCACTTTTTTTTTTCTTTTATAACTTTTCAACCTTTTAAAATTCAAGTATTTTTTATTAATTGTAAAACAAATTTACAATTAATTATTTTTTTTACATAACCAAATAGAGACTGTTTTAGTACCTAAAATTCAATATTAATAATTATAACCTTAATATTAAATACAAATATTAATATTTAATAATATTCAACAATAATGAATAACATTAATAAATATATTATTAATAATGGAAATTAATAAATTGAATACAAAATTTAAATATTAAATTATTAATATATAATACTAATATTTAATATTAATGAATAGTTTATAAATATATAATATTAATATTAACTAATAATAATACGAATTAATAAATATATCCTTATATAGTTAAAAATAGTGTCAATGAATTAATATTAATAAACAGAAATTATTAAATATAAATAAGTATATGTTTATTAGTTATTAATAACTGATATGTTTACGCATGCGATGCACGAGTATTTAATTTAAAATATATTTTGTATAGTAAAAAATACATTAAAAATAAATTATTTTTATTAGTTTAGGGTTTAGATATTTAAAATAATTTTTTTATATTTTAAAATTATTGTTATTTTTATTTATAGGAATAAAAAAAAGTTAATTATATAACATTTATAAATTAATGTATACTATAATAAGTTTAATATATTTTGTGGTCCTATTATAATCAAAATATATATAATAATATTATCATATTCTACACCAAACCTTTGATAAGAAATATTATATTATGAGATCACACAAAATTAATTCATATACATATTTTTATCAAAATGCATTAATTTTTATGCACAACAACACGTAATATATCAACTTTATGTTTTATTCTTCAACACCTCATCTGTAATAATGAAAATATCACTATGATGTCTAAGAGAAAAAGATGAATATATTAATAATAACCTCAAAAAGAATAACTACATTATAAAAAAAAAGTAAAAATATTTAATTAAATGGGAGGTTGCATGCATTTAGCGTAGCATTTGCGACGATAATGTTATTATTTCATTTTAGTAAAATTTAATATATTTAAATGAGTTAATCACCTATACACTACCAGTATAAAGTTTTTTACATTGACAACCAATCAGATCTGTGAATAGTGTCTTTTTTATTTTAATTTATTTAAATGAGCAAATGATATGACACTATTAACAGATCTGATTGGTTGTTAGTGTAAAAAAACTTTACACTAACATTGTATAAGTGATTAACTCTATTTAAATTTATTAAATAGTTTTAGCTATGAAAGGTTTAAATTTATACATTATTAAATATAGAATAGTTTGTTGAAAGAATTTTTCACTCAAAATTACATAGTTCAAACCCACTTTTCTAAAGAAATTTTTAACTTTTAAAAAACCAAATATTTCCCATTAGTTGTAACAATTTTTTTTACAATTAATTACTTTTTGACATTACCAAATAATTATTTTTTTATTAGTTAAAATCCAATATTAATAAATATATCATTAATATTAAATGCTAATACTAATAATTAATAATATTCAATAATAATGAATAAAATTAATAAATATAATATTAATATTAAATATTAATAACGACAATTAATAAATACATGAAAATAATGTTAAAATTAATATTAATGAATTACTATTATTATTATTATTGAATACAAAATTTACATATTAAATTATGAATATACAGTACTAATATTTAATATTAATGAATAAAATTTCATAGGCATATAATACTAGTACTAAATAATAATAGTAATTATTATTATTAAATATATCCGAATACTATTAAAAGTAGTGTCAATGAATTAATATTATAAATTATTAAATATAAATAAGTATATATTTATTAGTTATTAATAACTAACATGTTTATCCATGCGATGAATGAGTATTTGGTTTAAAATATATTTTGTACAATAAAAAATATATTAAATATAAATTATTTTTAATAAATTAGGATTTAGATATTTTAAAGTATGTTTTTTATATTTTAAAATTATTTTTATCTTTATTTATAGAAATTAAAAAAGTTGATTATATAACATTTATAAATTAATATATACTATAATCACTAGTACAAAAATGACTTTTAAAATCGGGGTTTTAAAATTGGTAATAAGGTAGTTGATTTTAAAAGTGACAGGCTCTTGAACAACCGATTTTGAAAGTGGAACTTTTAAAATCCGCTTTTGAAGAGCCGATTTTAAAAGTCTAGTTTTAAAATCGGCTCTTGAACAGCCGATTTTAAAAGTCTACTTTTAAAATTGGTTATTGTACAACCGATTTTAAAAGTAGCATCAGAGACTTAATCTATGCTATCTCTGCTCCCATTCTCCCCCTAACTCCATTCTCTACTCTTTGGCTTCAATAGTTCATATATTCTTCTCTTTACTCTCTCGGGCTCTCATCTGAAGGGTACAGCTTCTCATTTTCTCGTAATAATACAACATCAAGGTAACATTCTCGTCTCATGTCTCTTATTTCGTTGTTGCTAGGCGAATTTTGAGTCTGGAATGGCCCCAGAACGGCTCGTTCTACAAGCAGAACGGCCTGTACTATTGGTTTTTATATTCTTTTTGTAGTCTCATAAGCAAAAAGGAAACTATGAGTGCGGATACTATGTAATGAAGACAATGCATACTATTGTTGATTCACAAATAGTATCTGGGTGGACTGAAGTACGTTTTAGAATTTTAAATTTTTTTATTTTAAGTTTGCATTTTATCATGTTTTAAGAGTTATTTCTAATTGTTCTAATTTTTCTTAACAGATATTTATATATCGATCACCATTGTCGCTAGAAGATATAAACACCATTAGGGAGCAATGGGCTACATTTTTCATTGAAACATTGGCTAGCTACGAGATATGTTTATAGTTTTATTCATTTTGTAGTTTAGGATGCATCATAATTTATAAGTTACTTTGATTACATATATGGTTGACATTTACCAACTCTTGTCATTTGTATGTAATTTGGTATATTAAAAACATATGAATTGTCTGATATTTTATTAATTTGCAGGTTTTGTTCAAGGATCCTCCTAAAATAAGTCAAATATTTAAAAAAAAGTTACCCATTTTCATCGGTCATGCCATGACTAATGTTAAAAGTTAGACTTTTAAAATCGGTCATGCCATGATTGATTTTAAAAGTCTCACTTTTAACATCGGTCACTGTTGACCGATTTTAAAAGTGAGACTTTTAACATCGGTCACTGTCGACCGATTTTAAAAGTGGGACTTTTAAAATCGGTCAGCGATCGATGTTAAAAGTCTCACTTTTTAAAATCGGCTCTTTTAAAATCGGTCAGAGAACCGATTTTAAAAGTAAAAAATGACCGATTTTAAAAGTTTTTTTTTCACTAGTGAATAAGTTTAATATATTTTGTTTCCCTATTGTAATTAATATATGTATTAATAATGTTATTATCTTTTACATTAAATATTTGATAAAAAAAATTGTATTATAAGAGCACACAATATTGGTTCATATACATATTCTATCAAAATGCATTAATTTCTATACAACAATATGTAATATCATATTTATGCTTTTTATAATGAAAATATTATTTTGATGTCTAACTTCATAAACTTGTTGAAAAAGATGAACAATAATAATAATCTAAAGAAGAAAAACTATATGAAAAAAGTAAAAAATATTCAATTAAATGGAAAATTGCATGCATTTAGTGTAACATTTGTAATGAATGTCTTATCATTTTGTTTTACTAAAATTTAATATATCTAAACTTATTAAATAATTTCAGATATAAAATGCTTAAATTTACATATTATTAAAAATAGAATAGTTTGTTAAACAAATTTTCCACTCAAAATTACATAGTTTGAATTTACTTTTTTCTAAAGCTTGTTAAGCTTTAAAAATTCAAATATTTTCTATTAATCCTAAAACAAATTTAGAATTA